AACAGTGCACATCACGTGTAAATCGCAACGGATTGGATCGCACCTGGACACTGAAAGTATTACTCGCTATATAATCCCTAGTTAGCGGAACAACAAAACTACTTTTGATAGGTGGTTGGAGATATCTATGGACCTCGCTCGAAAATCTATGGCGAAATTTCGGCAAACATTTTTGAAAGAAAAGGGTTGGGGTCGTATAGATTGTAGGGCCAAAGATTAGGTTGTTCGGTCGGAGGTCGTAATTAGCAAGAACTTTCTACGTACTAGGATGCACATTGAAAGGTACCATACAACGACTTCCGCGACAAATGATGGGAGCGCTATCGCTTTCAGACCTCCTCCGCAACATGCTACCTCACCGTTTCTGCTTCTTTATCGCTACCCACGCCTGCTTTCTACATTTTATAAAGAGAAGGTATTTCTTAGTGAGACCGAGGAACAACTACAGTATAAATTTCTAGCATATGACCCATCACGGAAGAAACCTTCTTGAAGGCAGCATCAACGAACACCGCTGCTTCAGCTAGTAGGGCTGAGATCATGTAGCAAATGAGATATTAGTGAAGTAAAAGCAGGCTAAACCATCGGAATCTCCTAAATAAATTTCCTTCTGGCTCTGAGCAGTGTATGAGCATATGGTGCAGAGAGACAGAGCGGTTAAAAAAAAAAGCAGTTTGTGGTAAGAATTGACAAATAATCGAGAATCCACTGTTATACATATAGCGATGGTGAAATGAAATTATAAAGGCAGATCCAGCCAACAAGGCGGAGCTAGCTCATCGCCACATAGCCGTGGCGCCTTTATCAAGCACTTTAGATTCGCGGAAGTGAAACATGCTCTGCGACTGCGAAAAGCGCCACCTTGCGCAACGAAGGACTTCCGCACGTCGGGCGATCAGCTTTATCTGAAGTTGAAGGCAGTTGGCACGATTAATCCCCCAAGACGGGTACGATTAATACGCCTTTGGCAGAACGGAATTCCGCGACCCTGAGCAGGCGCTGCATAATGCCTTTTCCAAAGGAGGTGCCCTTATAAGGGCCCTATCAAGCCACAACATCCGACCCAAACGCCCGCCCGCCCACAAATGGACGACCGTTCCTGACGCTCTAATCGATTCATTTGCTAAGCAAATTATGAAGCGAAGGGATTGGTATGAAGCGGCCGTGATGCTGCATGGATATATGAGTACACATATGCAGCCGTACCTTCGGTAGCGGTTATTGGCAAGATGCCTACGGGAAACTCGTCCAAAATTGATTTTGAACACTGAGAACGGAGGCTCTTTCTTCGCAGGATTTTGACCGTTTCACTCCGTTCTTTCGCCATTTCCCCACTATATAGCGCCCTACTAGCATTTTAGGCCGAGCACCAAATCATCGTGCCAACTGCCTTTAAGGCAGCGTTCAGACTTCGCGACGGCAGCGCTTCGGTCGCGCGTTCGACGCGATCGATGCGCATGCTTTCGACTGCATCGATCGCGTCGAACGCGCGACCGAAGCGCTGCCGTCGCGAAGTCTGAACGCTGCCTAAGTGACGCATGTGGATGCTCTAGGGACGAGAAATACGCTGGGGTAAACCCCGAATCTCCAAGGGACTTACACCATGTTAGACAGGGAAACGTTCGCCACAGGTAGCCTTGCAAGAACTGAATATAACCGGGTTAGCCTGTCACTGATAAGAAAGGAAAGTGAAAGTAGAATAGCACCCATGGTAACAGCAGTGGTCAACAGTGCACAGAACCCCTTCAATTATTTCAGAAATCGCTACTCAAAAAAACACCACATTTGCTTACCTCACAATAGGCCATGGTGAGAGCTAAACAACAATCTATGGGGCTGCAATAGGTTTCCTAAAAATGGAAAATCACGCTGTAACCTACAAATAATCTTAAGAACAGAACAAAAATATTGGACCTCCCTTACCATAATCAAAGATTTTGGTGTCTTCGGAGCATCGGAATCTCCAGTCAAAAATTTCTTCACCATATGATAGGTACCTTTGTCTAGTTGTAGTGCTTCGCAAAGGATTTCAAATCTGACATTCCGACTATTATTCTCTGAAAAGACAAATTTTCCAACTGTCATCGACCAGCGGCAAAAAAAAACAGTAAATTTTGACGCGAACAGAGTCAAAAAAGAAAAGAGTGAGAAACCGTTTGTACTTTTCGACATGGGAGAAAAGAAGAATCGGCGATATGACGTTTTCGGAAAAGTAGTGCGAAACGAAAAGATGGCAGCCGATAAATTCCAGTCCCTAACGGCTGGGAGAATAGGAAAATCGTCGAATCGAGAGAACGCGCACTACTGACGGGAGTCAATCGATTACCATCTACTTCTTTGGCGCTCACTTCAACGAACCGTCCAATAGCCGAATCTACTGTTGTTGGCCACAAAGTATGAAGACAGCCTAAGAACTATAGAGGAAATGAAACACATCCTTATTAGGCCAACGACTGCCACGACACTGACAGTTTGGCTTTTAACCCTATGATTCTCCATCGTACACCAAAGAATTCCAACAGAGCCAGGTAATCGCCTGAGCCTTAGAGCGTCATACTCGCGGCTCCTAGCGAAAATTCAATCGCGCTCGACTGTGACTATACCCTCCCTGTTTCACCGAACAATAATAACGACACACAGCAACTGCAAATTCAATCTAAGGTCAAGAAAAATCTTATTTCGAAACTCGTAAGATATGCTGAAATGCCCAATCCGCAATGGCGCGAGCCAGAATTGCCCGGTAGCCGATGTTCTGAACGCCGTCTGAAACATCCATATTCACCTGCCGCCCTGATCAGCACATCTTAGACCTAGAGTGATATAACCAACTAGCTCTCAAATTCACCCGATTGTAAAGATCGTGCTTTCATATAATCAACATATAAAGTGTATCATAGAAATTCTACGATATACCATCCGTTATTAAAACAGCTTTTCCACGACACTGCTCGGCGCCCGACGAGCCTGTCGTCAGTTAGAAAAGCAATTTCCTTACAACGATGACACCTACACTGATCGCGATGAGAAATAGTAGACTCTGAAGCATTGTACTACCGGTTCCCATGATCACGCTGCATCAATGACAAGTATCAGCTGTTCTCGAGTCATGTTGAACTCTGTTTCGAAATCAATGTCACCCTTTTCTTCAAAACGATCAGCGATATCCTTCATCTGATGGGGATCGAAACACGGTTTATTCTTGCGCTAAATGACAAAACAATTGCTTTCTTGAAAGCGTCCCGCAGTTTCACTAACTAACCTTTTGCATATAGTCACTCGGAACAACTATTTCATAGTTTGTGAGACTTTCAGCATCCAAATAGGTGAACCAGCTGGAAGATCATTAAAAAAGGCTTAGCCACAATCAAAAATTTAATTTCGGCGCGATTCGGCTTGAAGAGGGCATCAAATGCTACTTAGCGAAGTCTGTACAGGAACCTTGTTAAGACCTGCAAATGCCTGGATGGCTCACTTTGAGCACTTCCAAGCTCCAAAAAAGTTAACAGATTTGACCAAAGTTAGATCTGCTAGTTAATATGAATAGCCAAAGGAAACAGCAACAGACGAAGTGCAAAGCCCTCCAAGCCGAACAGTACTATAATTCACTGAAAAACTTACTCTAATAATTCCTCGCATCGTTCTTTGATCCTATTAATTTCGTCTTCACTTAGCACATCCCACTGAGCAGCAGGGTCGTGGATAGCGATAATCATATTCTCAGCGGCAAGGGAGCCCAATTCCAGCTGTAAAAGCTCCTTATTTCCAAATCTGTGAAAACGATATTTATTCCCCGCTTCAAACACCATAGAAAGAAGCCAAGATATGAGCTCGTCTAATGTCGTACGACCACGCTTTTTTTGCTTACAAAAAATGGCTGACTTTTACTGTTGTAGGGAATTCTAGGCTGATCCACCAGTGCCGTGAAAAAAAAATCAAACAGAAAAAAAAATAGAAGTCCAAAGTCTATTTAGTTCGCACAAAAACAATCCTTTTGGCACTACTTGTCCTTTACTGCCCCAGAATCGGACCACATTCTACCCGAAATTTTCCGCGAAAATAGATTCTGACAGAAGTTTGTAGCTGAGGTGATCTGACCCGCTGAACAGATAAGCATCACCAGTCCGGGGCCAAAACTTCTTAAGTTTGCGTCACAGGCATTGGCGCTCTTGGGACACGTATTAGGTGCTTTGGAGTTATGCAGACGTATTATTCGTATTCAAGGGGCGGACTAGTTCTCGAAATAAATTTTCAGCAAACTTGGTATTGCGGAGTATTTCGCAGCCAAGCGCTTCCGAGGAAAGCGTGTGTGATATTCATGCTCAGAGAGGGTACAAACAAACCTTGCGACAAACTTCTGAAGGAATCTACCAAGGGAAACTTTCGATGGAAATCTAAGCTCCGGAGAATGGGCAAAATGGATGAGGCCTGCTTTCCCAACTCCCTCACAAGTGAGGGGGGGGGGAGCGGGGGCGCGAGCGCGATCGTCAGACATCATTTCTTGTTGTAGAGCTCATATTCCAACCATGAAGTAAGTCGGTTACTATATTATAGGCCCTTGCGCCTAGGAAGAGGCCACTCACAAGTGGATCTAAACCAGTTCATGACTGCTCGTCTCCACCCTCTCACGACAATAGTGTGACACGTTCTGACGCTGACAATGTCATGGCAGAACACTGAGTCGATGAGATAACGTAGACAAGTAGACATGAACTGGCTCAGCCTCGCTGTATGGTGGCCCCTGGCGAAGCACATACTTCGAGTTACATCAAACCATACCTCCGTTCGAGCATGAATGCGCAGTCTAATCCTAACAAAGGAGGTCTTCCAGGTCATGGTGAGCTTTTCAAAAACGGTTTGTTGCATGATGTAGGGGTCCATGCAAGGACCACACAGATGGGGTTCATTTTTGCTAAACGGTATTGGGAATGCCAAAAAGGGTCGAAAAATTCGAAAAGAATGGGCGATTTGAACCACCTTATTCAGCTCCGTTCTAGCTGTATCGTTGAGAGTGTATAGTTTATGAGGTGAACTTTGAGTGAGACATCCTCGCAATGCTTCTTCAGATGCTTCCAGCATCTCACACGTCGGCATGGACGGATATGTGTGTGGAATAGTGCGACCGAGCACCCAAATTAAGAATGCGCTGGTAAGTAATTCGTTTTGACCTTCTTCTGCGTTGTTTTTCATGTCTACTCAAAGTTCACCTCATAAACTATACACTCTCAACGATACAGCTAGAACGGAGCTGAATAAGGTGGTTCAAATCGCCCATTCTTTTCGAAATTTTTTCGACCCTTTTTGGCATTCCCAATACCGTTTAGCAAAAATGAACCCCATCTGTGTGGTCCTTGCATGGACCCCTACATCATGCAACAAACCGTTTTGAAAAAGCTCACCACGACCTGAACGACCTCCCTTGTAAGAATCTCTCGATGAATGAAAGAACAATGAGTTATAGAAAAAACAATGACTCATCAAAAAAGCAAAAGTAAATGTAAAGTAGATGGCTTCAAATATTAAATAGAAATGAGATCACGAAAAGTTTCCAAACGCAAGATATAGTTTTGATGTAATCCTTGTAGAGCTGTTCCGCGAAGTTGTTATACACCTTTATTAGCTAAAGTTTTGGCGAATTCACCTTTTTCGAAGCCTGGAGTGGTTAAGCTGAATTTCGGTGTTCAAAGAAGCATCCAACGTACCTAATACTTCTTTGAAGGAGGGCGGCCCGATTCCCCAAGGCGTGTAGGATAAATGCATAGCAGGACGAATTCAGCGCCACTGAGGAGACGCCTTCTTCCAAGGAAGGTACTCATATAGCGCCCTATCAAGCTGCAACATACCGACTCGGACGCCCACTGCACCGCCCGCCCACAAATGTCCGACCGATGCTGATGCTCGTATCGCTTCATTTGCGAAGTACAATATGAAGCGAAAGGATTGATATGAAGCGGCTGCGGTGCTGCATGGATATATGAGTACAGAATATCTAGCGTAGCGGTTATTGGCACGATGCCAACGGGAAACTCGTCCGAAATTGCTTTCTGAGTCGTGTAGAACAAAGGCTTTTTGCAGGTTTTTGACCGTTCACTTCGCTTTTTCGCCATTTTCCACTTTATAGCACCCCTGCTACCATTTTAGAGCGAGTACCGAATTATCGTGTCTTACGCCACTGAGCAGGGTTAGAGTGCTTATCACGAGAGATTCGCATTCCGACCGGACTCTGAATAGGTTCAGTAATTCCATCACCGGGCCGGTCGTCATTTGATCCATTGGATCTGATTGAAGTACGTTAGGTCATCTGCCTTGTTTTACTGCTGGATTAAGTAGCGTCGAAGTAGCGTCGACTAGGTACGCTGAGTGCTTTCTCGGATATCACAACTCTTTCAGACTACGAAAAAGAATCCATTGAAACCTTAGCCAATAAAGGTGCATAATCTGGGGGAACAGTTCTGAAAAGGTTACATCCATCAATAAAAGTGAAATACCGAGATTCGTACAAAGTCAGGTGCTAACGTATTTGGAGGGGGG